CTCAACCCAATAGCCTTTTCTCAATTCTCATTCTCCTCAACCTCTCTGCAGCCTTTGACACTGTGGATCACTCTCTCCTCCTCAACACTCTCTTCTCTCTAGGTTTTATGGACACCACTCTCTCCTGGTTCTTCTACCTATCTCATTGTTTTCCCCCACCCCCCTGCTCCTTTGCTGGATTCTGCACCAGATCACGCCCTCTAACCGTAGGTATCCCTCGGCCCTCTTCTCTTCTCTTATACTACTTTACTTGGTGATCTTATCAGTTCCCACAGATTTAATCACCATCTCTATGCTAATGATCCTCAGATCTCCTTCTCCTGCCCGAATCTCTCTGCTGACCTCCTATCTCTCATTTCCAACTGCCTTTCAGACATCTCGAACTGGATGTTCAGTGGACATCTTAAACTCAATATGTCCAAAACGGAACTCATCTTTCCCCCTAAACCCTTTCCACCTCCTACCTTCCCTGTTACTGTGGAGGACAACACCATCCTCCCAGTCCCTCAAGCTCCCAACCTAGGAGTCATCCTGGACTCCTCACTATCTCTCACCCCCATTTCCAAGCTGTTGCCAAGGCCCTTTTCCAAGCTGTTGCCAAGGCTTGTCAATTTCACCTCTGCAACATCTCTTGAGGATGCCTCCTTCTCTCTTCTGACACTGCCGCTACTCTGGTGAAGACCCTCATCACCTCACATCTGAACTATTTGAATAGCCTGCTTGGGGGGGGGGTCTACCTGCCTCAGGTCTCTCCCCACTCCAATCCATCCTCCATTGAGCCACCAAAGTGATTTTCCTAAACTTCAGGTTCTATCATGTCACCCCCCCCCCCCCCCACTCAATAAATTCCTGTGGCTCCCTACTGCCTCCAGGGGCAAATACAAAATGATCTATTTGGCATTCAAAGCCCTTCATGACCTGGTCCCCTCCTACCTTTCCAGTCTTCATATACTTTACTCCCCCACATATACTCTTTGACTGGCCTCCTTGTTGATTCCTTAAACAAGACCCTCATCTCCAGATGTTTTCTCTGGCTGTCCCCCATGCCTGGAATGCTGATCCTCCTCCACTCACAGTGCTGACCTTTCTGGCTTCCTTTAAGTCCCAACTGAAATTTTACCTTCTATAAGAAGCCTTCCCTAAGCCCTCTTCATTCTAGTGCCTTCCCTTGGTTGACTATTTCCTGTTTAGCCTGTATAGAGCTTGCTTTGTTTATATTTGTTTGCATTTTGTCTCTCCCATTAGATTATAAGCTCCTTGAGGGCAGGGACTGTCTTGTGTCTTTTTTTTTTTTAAGCTCCAGCATTTAAAACAAGCCTAGAACAAAATAAGCACTTAATAAATGTTCATTGATTGATTAAAGTGTTTCCTTTGTCTTTCTTTTGTTTGTTCAGCTTTTGTTTTCTTAAGAAAGGGGCTTAAGTAGGGTTAGGGCCAGCCCTCAGAAAACCCAGAGAAAGGAATGAAGCTTTCTGTTTTTGTTTTCTTTGAAGCAATCAGGGTTAAGTGACTTGCCCAGGGTCACATAGCTAGTAAGTATCTGAGGCCAGATTTGAACTTGGGTCCTCCTGGTGCTCTAACCACTGTGCCATCTAGCTGCCCCTGTCACCTCTGTTTTCTAGCCCTGCTCCCTCTTTTCCCCATTGCAATTCAGGCTCTGTTCTGAGGCCCATCCTCTTAGGAGTCAATAGCCCTACCTCAGTCTGGGCCAAGGGCAAACACCCGCCCCCCCTTTGTCTTGCTTCCTAAAGAATCTCAGATCCACAGAACATTCCAAACCCTCAGACTCATAGATTAAGAGTGGGAAGGGACCTCCCAGGCCACCTAGTTCAGTGCTCTCTTTTTCTTTTCTTTCTTTTTTTTTTAGGCAATTGGGGTTAAGTCCCTTGCCTAGGGTCACACAGCTAGCAGTGCTCTCTTTTTATAGCTGAAGACACTGAGGCACAGCGAGGTGATCTAACCCACCCGGGGTCACACTGGGAAAATGGAGCAGTAGAGCTAGGCGTCCCTTGACCCCAAATTAAGCAGTCTTTCCACCTCACCATGGTGCCTCAAACCATTGCCTTGATTCATTGCCAGATGTGTGGGACTTGGAGGGACAAAGACAGCTGGGATTCCCTCTTCCATCTGGTCTCCATGCCTCTTAAGCCTTGGCAATTCCCAGGCCCTGTTGGGAAGTCCAGAGGCAACATGCTGCTGCTAGTGTTAACAGATGGGCAGATTAGAGGAACATTTCTTGTTCACTGGGCCTGGGGAGCTGGGTTCCTGAGTCCCAGATTCCACAGCTCCCAAAGCGGCTCTTCTGGAGCTGGAGCTGTTCCTCTGGCTTGGCTCAGTGGGATGCTCACTCCAGGCAGGGGCCAGGCCAGGCCAGGCATGAGACACCAAACAGCTGGTCCAGTAGAGATAAGGCTCTAGGGACCCGAGAGTCAAGGGACCATTATCTTAGCCCTGACTCTGACAGGGTGATATAGCAGAGAGCGCTAGGTTTGGAGACGGGAGTCTAATTCAAATGCTACCTCTCCCTCTAACTCCCCACGTGACTTTTGGGCAACTGACTTCTTTGCTCTTGGAACAAACCCTGGATTTGGGTTAAGAGGATGTGGGTTCTAATCCTGCTCCCATCATTTAGATCTTAAGCAAGCTTCTCTGGGCCTCAATTTCCTCTCCTATAAAATGAAGACTTTGGACTAGATGACCTCAGGTCCCTTCCAGTTCAAAATGTAGGATTCTACAATTCTGCCACTGGCTTGCAGTATGACCTTGGGCAAGTCCCTTCCCTTTTCTGAATCTCAGTCAGATAGATAGATCAGGTAGATAGATAGTCAGGAAGGCCTAGGTTCAAATCCAGCCTTAGACACTTACTACCAGTGTGACCCTGAGCAAGTCACTTAACCGTTGTCTGCCTCCATTTCCTCAATTGTAAAAATGGAGATAATAATAGCACTTACCTCTCTGGGTTGTTGTGAAGATATCAAATATCAAATATCAAATGAGATAATACTTGTAAATATTATATCCTATCAAATGAGATAATATATGTAAAGCATTTAGCACAGTTAGTAAATGATTTTTCTCTTCCTGGAATTTGTCACCTGCTCTTATCTCCGAAACCAGGGGACCCACTAAGATATCATGGCCATGAAAGGGCCTTGAAAAGACCCCTACTTATTCATATCAATGGTGGCTGACATTCACACACCATTTTCTCCTGTCCTAGAAGCCCAAAGGCAGCTCCCCATCCTGGCTGACTTTTTACTGGACTCAGATTCCCACTCTGGCAGAAAAGTAAACTCAGCTCTCCTTATTCACTTGGAGTCTAGAATGCAACTCTGGTGAAGTCAATAGAGGGCTGGGCCTGGAGTCGGGAAGCTCTAAGTTAAAATCCAGCCTCAGACACTTATTTGCTGTGTGTTCCTGGGCAAATCACTTTCACCTCAGTTTGCCTCGGTTTCCTCAACTGTAAAAGAGGGACAACAATAGCATCTACCTCAAATGAAATAATATTTATAAAAGTGGTTAGCATGGTGCCTGGCACATAGTAGGAGCTATAAAAATGCATATTCCCCCCTTTCTAGGGAAATTTTCCCTCAGCTGTTTCCCCTCCAAGATTATCTTGCATTTACGTATTATATATAATACACATGTACACATTTACATAGCTCCTTCATTAGACTATAAGCTCCTTGAGGGCAAGGATTGTTTTATTTTTGCCTTTGTACAGCACTTAATAGAGTGCATAACACATAGTAGATACTTAATAAATGTTTGCTATTGATAAGTTGTTTCTTTGTAGCAGTTCTTGCTACATAGTAGAAGTTTGATAAATGTTTGTCAATTGGCTGATAAAGTAATTAAAGGGAAAAGTCCTCCCCAGCAGAAGGTCTAAAGCTCTACTCATATTTACAAAAGGGGGTGGGGAGTGGAGATACTGTACAATTGGAAAGCCCTGGTCTTCCAGTCAGGAGACCTGGGTTCCAATCTGCCACCAGCTTAGGTGTGGGACCTTCCCCAAATGTCTTTTCCCTCTCTGACCCTAAGTTTCCTCATCTGTAAAATGAGTGGCTAGGCTCCCTTCCAACAAATTAAATTCCAATAAAGATATATCTAAGAGAGCCCCACGCTCAGTGCTTGAGATAGAAAGGTAGATCAGACATACAGCCTGCCCTCCAGGGGCTTACAGTCTGATTAGGGGAGAGCTAGAAGACAAGCTCACAAATAACTCTGGTAGAAACAGTTATGCTAGAACTCAGATAGAAATCACAATATCACCAATCCTAGAGTATAGACAGGAGGAACGAGATAAGAGAGGCCCAGGACAAAATGTGAGGAAAGGTGGGAGAAATCACTTTCACCAGGTAGGAGCAGTGAAATCTTCTGAAGGAGGGGCCTAGGGAGATGGGCTTGGAGATGAGGAGTCCATTCCAGGTCCAGAAACAGACCCAGAGAGCAAGATAAGAATGGTTAAGAGTCATTTAGTTTGGCTTGGGATATAGGAGATAAGTTGGAATCACTTTGGAAGGCCAACATGAGAAGTTCCATTTTCTAAGCATTTCCTCACTGGGATCCCACTCCTTCCGTCTCTGCCATTCCATGTCTGAGGGTCTAAGGCCCCTCTGGACTCAGACATTCTGTGTCCTAAGGACCCTCCCAGACCTGACATCCTGTGTTCTAAGGCCCCTGTGGACTCAGACATTCTGTGTTCTCAGGCTCCTCTGGACTCATACAGTCTTCTTCCTAAGGGCCCTCCCAGCTGTGACATTCATTGTTACAGATTTTGATTTTTAGGCATAGTCATCCTTTGCTGAGGTTGTATTACCATCAAACAAGTGGCAGAGATGCAGTGGGCACTCCCCCCCCCACACCCTTGGAGGTAATAAGCAACAGGTTCTCTGGGGGAAAAGTAGAGGACGCAGAGTCCCAGACAAGTCCTTCGTGTGCAAGAGCCGCCCTCCCCCCATAGCAGTCAATCCAGGTCTTCCTCTTTGGCCTGATCTTACCTCCAGGGGTGCAGGGTCAGTAATGGGCTGCAGGGGCTAGCTGGACTGCATGGGCTCAGCAGGGTCGGGCTCTGGTTACTTGGCGACAAACTGCAATTAAGAGGAACCACAGCCTTATGATTCTCTCCCAGGACCAGGTACCCCCTGCCCTGCTAGCTCCCCACATCCTGGCTGGTTGTGAAATGGCAGATGAGAGATGTGAGGGAAGGGGAGAAGAGAGATACCAAGGCTGGGTCCCCAGAGGACCTGGTCCAATCCACTAAGAACCGGCTGGCAAGGGGGCGCTCGGGAGTCCAGAGAAAGGTTCATCTCAGGCCAGGAGGCAGGGAAGGGCGCTACTGAGGGCTGGGGAGCAGAAACCTCTCCCTCAAACTGCCCCGAATTCCCCTGGGGAAAGTACCGCCCCCTTGGTTCCTTCAGGGGGCTCAGGGATCATTAGGAAGACGTAGACTGGGAGCGTATGGATTCGTGGAGGAGGGGAGTTTGGAATCCCCCAAGAGGAGGCGAAATCACGGACCTTCTCAGTGCCCCCATCAACCCTAAAGGGCTCAGCTTAGGTCTCCTAACAACTTCAAACAGTGACCAGGCACCAGGATCTCCAGAATCCCCCAACCCACACAACTCTCACCCCAGGGGCCAGCATCCTCGTGCCCGGGGCTTCACCAGTCCCACCTCCCTCAAAACTGCTGCCGCCTCCGGACAGTACCCCAGGCTACTCACTCCAAGGTCAGGGCCGGGATGTTCAGCTTGTCCCGCCGGGATTTCATGGCTACGGGAGGGGGGTAAGAGTGGGGAAGGAAGGGAAGGCCGGTGGCCTCTCTTCTTCCTGAACTGTCAATCCGCCTGTCCCCACGGCCACCGGCGCGGAGGGAGGGAGGGAGGAGGAGGAGGAGGAAGAGCAAGCTGATGGGTCGGGGGTGGTGGGAGTGGAGGGGAGGGGCGGTCCCAGGCGCAGATCCCCAGCTGGAGCCCGGCGGAGGCTTCCACGCTGCGCCGCGCCCGCCCCCTCTACGCGCGCGTCACTCCCTGCACCTCCTCCGGGGAGTCCGCCCCGAGTGCACAACTGGGCCCTCGGAACCCCGAGCCTTCCCGGGAGAAGAGAGGCTGGCCCTTTGGAATCGGGGGTCCAGTTGGAAGGGGGAATTGACCCAAAGAGGGGGCTATAGAAGAGGGGCCAGATGCCAGGTAAGGGGTTGGCCAGAATAGGGACCTGTTCCAGGGAGAGGGCGGGGCAGAATAGGGACCTGCCCCAAGGAGGGGTTCAGAATGGGGGAAGGCTAGGTAGGAAGGGGAGGGAGCAGAAAAGGGAATTGCCCCAAGAAGGGACTTATTATAAGGGAGCCAGCTGGAAGGCAGGGCAGAATAGGGACCTGTCCCAGGGAGGGGTTTCCAATGAGGGGGAGGCAGCTGGAAGGCAGGAGAGAATAGGGAGGGGCTCAGAATAAGGGGACCAACTGGGAGGGAGGATAGAGCTGGTTTCCGTGGAAGGGGGTGCTCACTATAGCACCTCCTCAAGCAGAATGGTATTCTCATTAATAATAATAGCTGATATTAATATAGTAGTTTAAGGTTTGTTTACAAAATGCTTTTTGTATGGTGAGGAAAACACCCTCTACTAATGTGGTTAAGTAATTTATAGTGTTTGTGGCTGGGCCACTGAGAGGCCCAGGGTCACCCAACCAGTGTCAGAAGTGGCACCTGAACTCAGGTTCTTCTTGGCTGAAGGCTGGCATTCTATCCAAGTTGCCTCTCAGTGATGGGTACTACTGATGTGATTCCCCCCATTTCACAGAGGAGGAAGAAGCTGAGTCTTAGAGAGGTTAAGTGAGCTGCCTGTGACTACACTGTTAGTATGAGTCAGGGGCAGGGTCCAAACCTAGATCTCTCATGATTCCAAAGTCCAGTGTTCTTTACACACTTCAGAGCTGTCTGGGGGAGAGGGGAAAGAATATGAATGATTTGTCCCCAAAAATCCACCCAAGGGGCCTGTGGTATCTCCAAGGAGGCAGGCCACCAAGGCTGGCTGCCATTGCTCAAAGTCTGGGCCACAGTACCACCGCCCTCTAGACACACTGGAGGTCTGCAAATATGCTGGGGTGGCAGAAAGGGACCAGGCCATCCTGTCTCATTGATTATCATCTGATCCTGGCACTTGGCCCCACCTTGCTTCTTAAAGAGATTGGTCTCCCAGGGCCTGGATGAAGTTCAAGGAGGAAGCACCCATCCCAACCTGGCCCAAGTCCAAGGGTCTGGGAAGGGAACCAAGGTGTGTACTGGTCTCCCTCCCAAGCCCTGACATTTCAAGGGAGAACAGCCATCTGCTGCTTTGCCAGAACCTAGCACCACCTTGTCCCAACTCAAGGCAACTTAAGGGTGAACCCTAGAGGTCTTCATTCAGAGAAGTTGTCTCTCCTCCTACCCCATCCCAACTCCCCAGGTTCTATATCATCTCCCCAGGGCCTGCTCTCTGAACCCAGAATATCAGAGCTGGGGGCAGGGGGCTTAGGACACAGAATGTCAGAGCTGGGAGGGCCCTTAGAACATAGAATGTCAAAATTAGAAGGGCCCTTAGAACATAGAATGTCAGAGCTTGGTGGGGGGGGAACCTTAGAACCCAGAATGTTAGAGCTAGTAGGGCCCTTAGAACACAGGATGTCAGAGCTGGGAGGGCCCTTAGAACACAGAATGTCAGAGCTGGGAGGGCCCTTGGAACACAGAATGTCAGAGCTGGGAGAGCCCTTGGAACACAGAATGTTAGAGCTGGGAGGGCCCTTGGAACACAGAACATGGAATATAAGACCTGGATGACCTCTGAGCCCAACCCTCTCGGTTTATAGAGGAAACAGAGGCCCAGGATGGCTGAGGCATTTGGTCCAGGTCACATAAAGAGCCAGTGGGAGGGTGAGGAGTAGAGCTCTGCAGAGGACAGTAGAAAGAGGCCTCAGCTGGGATTCAGGAAGCCTGGGTCCTAGCCCCAGCTCCCCCACTCACTCTATATGTATCAAAAGGTAAATCACATTCTCTCTCGGGGTTGAAACTTCCCCATCTATATGCATCATAGGGTCACAGATTTAGGAATCTCAGTGGCCGTATAGTCCAACCTATCATTTTACAGAGGAGGAAACTGAGGCCCAGGGAATTCAGTATAACCATATATGTCCTACCCCTCTCACAGGATTGCTGTGAAGATCACATGAGAAGCTAGCCGCAAGGCGTCATTTCGCTGTTATCTTACAAGCTCTGAGAAGGCAGCGGGGCTGGGTTTTATCCATGTTTTCTTTCCCATCTTAATACATGTTGCAAGAATGAATACACGAATGCATGATCATCCTTGCAGGAGGCTTCGGTAAACAATGCCTCGTGGCCAAGAACAGAATCTAACGGCTGGTCAGAGGTGGGGTTAGGTCAGTCAACAAGCGTTTATTAAGCGCTTACTAAGTGCCAGGTGCTATGTTAAGCACTGGGGATACAGGAAAGAGATTTTTCAATCGGAGCCTACTTGCCCTCAGATGGCCCTGAGTACAAGAAACGGTGGAAGGTTCCCCCACCCCATCCACATTAGTCACACAGTGCAGAGCTGCTGTTCCTTGATTCTCCACTAGGGGCCACTCATCGACACAACACAATAGGAAAGCTTGGATCTCAAATTTTTTTTTCCTTCTATCTTGTATCCCTGGTGCCAAGCACAGTGCGTTTTAAGATAAATGCATGTTGAATTCAATTCACTTCATAGATGCCAGAGTAGAAAGGTACCTTAGAGACTATTTGGTCTAGAGGTCCCATTTTACAGATTAGGAAACTGAGGCCTAGAGAGAGGAAGATGATTTGCACTCAAGCCTTCATCTCTCCTAGGGCAAGGTAGGGAGCTCTTGGTCAGTCCTGAATTTTGGTTCCTTCTTCCTAACTCCCTCATTGTTTGCCATGTCCCCACTTGTCAAGACTCCCTGTGTCCCCTCCAACAACAACATTCTCTGTCCCCCTTCCCAGGAAAAGCCCCAGGCTACTTCACAGGGTACTTCTAGAGGCAGCCCCACTCCCACCCCGGTCTCCTAGAGCCTGCCTTCAGGGGTGGGGTTTCTGGCTTCAGGTCAAGACACAGTTTGAGGGTGAGAGGACATTCAGGTACTGGTGTCCCCCCAAATCTCTTTTCTTTCTTTTTTTTTTTTGGTTAGGTAATTGGGGTTAAGTGACTTGCCCAGAGTCACATAGCTAGTGTTAATGTGTCTGAGGCTGGATTTGAACTCAAGTCCTCCTGATTCCAGGGCCGTTGCTCTATCCACTGCGCCACCTAACTGCCCCCAAATCTGTCTTTTGTTTTTGTTTTCCAAAACCCCATGCCCCAGACTGGGCAGCAGTGGCCCAGGGCCAGGAGTCCCCTTCCTCCCTTCTCTCCTGGACCCTCCTCCTCTTCCTCCTTTCTGTGTCATCCTTTCCCTTGTAGATGCACAGACTGCTGGAGCTAGAAGGGACCTGAGAGCTCACATGGTCCATCCCCGTTGTTCTATAAAGAAAGAAACTGAGGCCCAGAGAGGATGAGCTCAAGTCACACTGTGAGTCAGTGACAGAGCTGGGTCCCAAACTGCCTCTTCTTCTTCTTCCTCCCTCCCCTGCAGCCTTTGGTGGTAGGAGGAACTTTAGGACTTTGGGGTCCAACTCTTTCATTTTAGAGAATTGGTAAACTGAGGTCCAGAGACAGGAAGTGATTTGCCCACGGTAAATCAGGGATAGAAGGAAGCTTAGAGAAGACCACTAACTCAGAATGTGACCTTGGGCAAGTCTCCTGTGCTAGTGCCTCTAAGGTCTCCTTCTACCTACTTTGTGTCTATCTTCTGTATACCCCTATATATGTGCATGTTGTCTCTTCCTTCATCTCCACCCCCTTAGAATGTAAGCTCTTGGGCAGTTCTTGGCACAGTGGATACAGTACTGGCCCTGAAGTCAGGAGGACCTGAGTTCAAATGTGGCCTCAGACACATAACACTCACTAGCTGTCGGACTCTGGGCAAGTCACTTAACCCCAATTGCCTCACCAAAAAAAAAAAAGAAGAATGTAAACTCTCTGAGGCCAGGCATTATTTCACTCTTGTCTTTGTATTGCCAACACTTATCCCAGTTCTCGGCACTTGGTAGGCGCTAATGCAGGTGGTATCTTCTCTTCCCCCTTCTTTTCCTCTGCCTTTGTCCCTTCTCCCCTACCTGCACCCTAATCTGCCAGTGCTCCCACTCCCTAAGGAGGCTGTCAAGGTACAGATCTTGGCCAGAACCAGGCCCTACCTCATGAGGGCTATCAGCCATCCCAGGTACTTACGCCCTTCCCCGTCGAGGCAAGCTGAGTTCCTTCTGCAATGAAAAAAGGAGAGCAGGTCAGACTAGGGGAGCTGCAGGCAGATGCCAGGGGCTGGAGGTGGCCCAAGGGGCCCATTCCCCACCTCACCCCCCCCAGCCCAGTTTCCTAGGAACTCGGGGATCCCAACTCCTGGTCCAGGTCTTTTCCCACAAACCATGACAAAAATAACAGTGATTCCTTATCTGTAGGAATAACTTTCTTTATAATAGCCCTAGGGGGATTAGCATGCCCATTATACAGAGGAGGAAACTGAGGCCCCAAGAGCCTCCTCTTGGGAGAGAACAAACAGTGAATCAGTGATGGAGCTGGAACTAGAACCCACACCTGGCAATCTTCGCCCACAGGCTTTTCTATTGAAGAATGTGGAGAGGGGAGGGGTTAAGGGGACACAGGGGGGCAAGGAACGGGAAAGGGGTCAGGGATCACACTTTCCCCCTTCGTGTTCTCCAAATACTAGGAGAGCTTAGAAAAGCTGT